TATATGTGGTGGGTCTCATTTGGACGGTGGAGTTCATTTTTGCCTGTCAGCAGTTTGCATTGGCCGCTGCTGTGGCCTTCTGGTACTTTGGTAAGCCCACCACAACGCCCACATTGTATGCCATTGGAAAGCTGGTCAAATATCATCTGGGAACCGTTGCCAAGGGATCCTTTGTGATCACTATATTCAAGATTCCTCGCCTAATACTCACCTATTTGTATGCCAAGTAAGTTTCTCTCCTCAACCTCCATAACATGCATAGCTATTTTTCACGATTTCCCTTTCCATTCCAGGCTAAAGAAGGGCGAAGACAAGGGTTCGGAGTGTGCCGCCTGCTGCTTAAAGTGCTGCATTTGTGGCTTCTGGCTGCTGGAGAAGTTCATACGCTTTCTCAATCACAATGCCTACACCGTTGTGGCGATCGAATCAATTAACTTTTGCCCAGCTGCCGGAATCGTAAGTTTGAGCTTGAGATAATCAAATAATCAGATTAGAGGTATCGAAAATAAACATCTATCGCTATCTCGCTCTTGTTTTCTAGGCTTGGAACGCCATGGCCACCAATGTCCTGCAGGTGGCCACAATCAACAGCGTTGGCGACTTTATTCTCTTTTTGGGAAAGGTTGTGGTGGCCGCTCTGTCCGGCCTGATTGGTATTTTCATGCTAAAGGATATGCCGGGTCTGAACTTCTACATGGCCCCCGTAATACTCATTATTATATTTTCATTCTTCATCGCCCACATTATCCTGTCGCTCTTTGAGGTGAGTAATCAATCCTGCCTATCATGTCAACGATTATCTCTAATAATGATCCCATCCAACAAACAGATGGTGGTGGACACTTTGTTCCTGTGCGTTTGCGAGGATAAACAAATCAACGGCCGCGCTGGTCGTTGGGCTCAAAGCAATCTGGCAAAATTGGTCGGCGAGGAACCGCTGCAACCCGGCGAGGAGCCGCCCATTCAGGTGGTGGAGATGATGCCCATCAACAAGCAGCCGTTCAGTATTACACGACTCCCTCCATCTGACCCAGAGGTTGCCCCCATGTCGGAAGAGTAACACTCTAAACACGTCTTTTTCTATTTATTCCAAGCCTCCCGAAACTCAACGCACATCTCACTAGGATGTTAATATATTAATATTTATATATACTTATAGCCCAGTCTTAGGACTATCTCCGTCGCGACGTACAAAGCCCAAAAGTGAGAGCGAATAGTAACATGTAATCTTGTCTATTGATATTCTAATTAAGAATGCACAATTTATATATGAATGTGTTTATAAAATATAATCCTTTTGTATTTAATTGTATTTTCTAAAGCAAGGCATTCATACTTTTTTTACGCGTTTTGTTACCTTAGCCTTCTTCTGGTCGATTACCTTTTTGATGGCCTTCAACTGTTTCTCCTTAATCTTCTTGGTCAGCGCTGACTTTGGCGTTTTTTGCTCATTTTCCTGCTGTTTCTTTTTGGCTATCGCAGCCAAGATCTTAGCTGTCGCTATGGGATCTTCATCATCGAAGAGTTCATCGTTGTCGATGCCGTCGTATGCCTTAACGGGACGCGTCGCCTCGTGTTGCACCTTCTGCTCCACACGGTTCACGTACTTATCCTTTGCCGATTTCTTCAGGATCTGTCGCTGCTTGGATGGGCTGACATAGTCCGGATTCTCCCATAGGGTTTTGCCTGTGAAGGAACCGTCGAATATCTTGACGGGATTCATCACGTACCGCGGTCCCACCTCTGACAGGCCGCCGTCTTCGGAAAGAATCTGGAAATTCCTGAACCAGATGCGATTGTCCAGGAAGGTAAAGGTAAAGACGTGATCCACAAACGGCTGGCTCTTGGGATGGTGGTGGGGCACTGAGTAGGTCTGCACAAAGAGCTCCTTAAGGAGCTTTAGGTGCGGCAACTCATCGAATTTCGAGTCGAACGATAGCAGTGGGCGCGAGCCTCTCAAACAATTTCCGGTCATCTTCAGCTCGGCCATTGTGTGAATGTTCTCGATAAGGAATTTCGCTGATGGCCCTTCGGAGCCGACCGTGTTGGACACCCACATGTACAGGTCCCGCTTGCGGCGCCCTTCAAAGAGCATGGCCTTGTTGCAGTGCTTCATTTCACACATCTCATTCACCACCGACAGAGTCTTGGCGCGCTCCATTTTCGATTCGGCTCGATGATGCGGCATCAAGGTTTTGATGTCGCGCATTAAATGTCTGTCTCTGTGGCTAATACCACGCGCTGCGAAGACCAAAACACGCTGTTTGTTCACCCATTTCTCCTGCAAGATCAAGTAGGTGCGTTTTAGCGGTGCCTTTATTTTAAATTTTAAAATCTTCTTACTCTTTTGGGAACAACATCATCTGACTTCCGCTGTGGAGGTAACGGTGGATTTTCATCAACAGGCACAATCTCCAGCTGATCGACCTGCTTTTTCTTCTGAAATTTGCGACCCATTTCTCTTTATTTTAACAAATTTCGACTTCTAAAGAACGAGCAAGCAGCGATCCAAAACAACGTGGAGTTGAACCAGTGTGACCAACGAAAAACGAACTTAGCCCACTTAAGTCCCCTCTGTTTAAACAGTTCAACGAATTGAGGTAAATGGCGTCATATATTACTGATTGCGAATTCTTCTTGTAGATCCATGCCATTTTTCCTCTGAACTTAAAAAAAACCACGATATCTTTCACCTGACTACGCTAAAATTATTACATTTTCATTATTTTCGGTGGCATATTAAAAATCTACAATGGGTTAATTTGATACCCGTCAAGGATTGGAAACCATATTCCTTGATTTTGATATTCGATTTAATGTTACTATTTAGCTAAAACTTCCATACTTGAACACATAGTTTTATCCTATTGATAGGTAAATTTTCTATATGATATATTAATTTTAACTACTCTCTTTTATTGCATTTTTCAAAATAATAAGGTTTTGACGAAAAAGGTCAAACAAATAAAACGTAAGTCAGTAATCGTTCCTGTCAAATAAATGATATCGATAGCTTGGCGAGTTGTCCAGCATAATAACTATTTTATAGTTATCAAATTCATGATTTCAATAAAAATATTAATGACATTCATTAATTCATTTAACGGTATAGTGCAATTTACCAGGTTTGGTCTAACGTCTAACATTTTTGTTACTTTTCCGGCGATTTAAAAGTCTAAATTAAAAAAAGATACAGCAAAACTAGGATCAATTTTGAATTTTAGAACTTAATACTTCCCAAACGGAGGCTCCAAAGTGTTTCAGGTTTTCAAAATTACACAATTATGTGAAAAGATTAGCACTATCAGAAAAAGTCGGTTTGGTTCGAAGCGTAAAAATGCTGTTGCATAGTGTTTTTGTTTTATTGAACTATTTACTTTTATAACAATCTTTGGGTAAATAAATGTATATAATTCTTCGCTCTAAACAGCTGGAACGACACCCTCAATGCGTTCTCTGTACAGCTGACCCCGGTTCTTTTCCACAATCTCTTTGACGTCATAAAACCATTTGCCTGCAAATGCAAAAAGTATTATGATAGAATTGTTTTTGAATGAATTCCAATGAACTATTTACCAATGCTGGTGTTCTGCAGGCAGTCTTTGAATGTCTGGCATCCCTCCATACTGCTAAGGACACCGAAAACGGAGAGATCCGCAAGACTGGGCTGCTTTCCGCCCATGAACTTTGTGTTTCGCTTCTTCAGCTCGGTGGTCCACTTGTCCAGGGCATCATACATATGAGATCGGACATCATCGGTGAGAGCATGGCGACGTTTCAGCACCTTGGCAATCCCCCACATGGCCACGGCACCGCAATAAACCATCATATTTCGTTCCCACTGCGGAAAATGCACGTCCCACTCGCCCGCCTTTGCGAACCACTCAAATGTCTCCAGAGACTCGCTCATGCTCTGATAACAGTTCGGTGATATGAGGTGCACCAAGTGGTTGTCCGCCCAGGTCCTCCATTTGCGATCGGTTCTGTGAAGAATTCATTTGATTAGGACAATCTGGGAATGTGAAATGCACTTGGGCTTACTCCTCCGTTTCCTTGGTTACACTCTTGGGTGCTCGATCCTGATACATAAGGAAGTACTTGTTCAATATATCCGTTTTTTTCTTGCTTTCGTCGTCAAAGAAGGAGATGTGTGGGTAGAATTCTGCCAGCTCGCCAATATCGGTGCGCTTATCGTGAAGATAGGTGGCTATTAACGATATAATGGCACTGGAATCAACCATTTGGACGTATTGACCATCCCGCTGGCGTATGAGCACCATAGGGACTTTCTTAATTGTCGACCACCGAATATCCTGTCGCAGAACGGCATCCACCTCGACAACCGAGTAGGAAACGCCCATGTAGTCCAAGTATGCACGGACCTTACAGCAGAACGGACATGTCTGGAACTGAAATAACACAATATCCAGTCCGGAGGTGTCTTTGGGGTTCACATAACGCTTGGTTATACGCACGCCCTCCGGCATGTTTTCCACACGCTTGGGCGGCGTGTGCTCGTGCTCCTTGTGGGAGTCGCCATCAGTCCATCGCGAGTATACTGTGTACACTGAGCCTGTGACTGCGCCCAGACCGGCTCCGAATAGCGCCAGCTTGAATGTTCCATTGGGCGGCTTCTTAACGCCATTGCCTGGTGCTTCTGCTGTTTTGCTGAAGGGTCGGCGTGCTAATGCAAATTCCTGATGGGATTTATTGCACAGAAATCGCGAAGTCCTGCTGCCCACCGGCAGAGGACGTGTTGCCGCTACTAGGGCTGTGGCAGTCGCCAGCCGAAAACATGACATAATTCCACTTTGTTTTGACTATTTGTAATAAAATCTATTATATATTATGCAAAAATTGGCGATAAGTCGCCTCCCGAGACTGGATTGAATTAGCGATGCGATAGTTGAACCGCACATGTATCGATATATATCAGTTGGCCCATCCCTACTGAATACAAACAAAACAAATCCAGAAAAAAAACACCGCACCACACAAAATCTCTTGTTTTTGCAATTCCTGTGAAATTCGATTCGAAATGTCGGCATCTGTGGAAAGTATTGTCACGGGTGCAGCAGCTGCTGCTTCCCTAGACAAATATGGGGAAGAGGACCTGTTCAGTATATTAATACGGTACGGACTTTATGTGGGAGCCATATTCCAGTTCGTATGCATCTCGGCCGCCGTGCTGATGGCCGGCGAGGAGACGGTGGACGCCAACGAAACGGAGAGAGAGAGTGAGCCGGTGAGGGCACGCCTGCACAAGATCCGCAAGCTGGAGAAGAAAAAGCGCCGCTAGGTCAGGAATCGCATATCTCATAGCATAGCATAGCCCTAGTTAGCCTAACTACTTACCATATTCTAAGTATACACTAAAATAAAAGTCATTTCTGTGAAATGTGTAGCTGCCCAGCCCTTGATCAATCTGCCGACTCTGCCGCCCTGGCATCTCTGCACATGACTCAGGGCGGGGCGGGGCGGTGCGCCCCCATTGCGAGAGCCCCCCACACCCAAGAATCAGCTGCAAACAAAAATGACTAATTGTATTTCTCTTTTAGTTTTGGCTCTTTAATTTTGGGAATAATATAAATTATAATAATCGTATATTTATTATGTTGCTCGCAATGTTGTTGTTTTACTTCCCTTTGTAGTAATGTGTGTGTGTGTGTGTGGTATGTGTGTTTTTGTGTGTGTTTTGTTGTGTTGAATGCTCCCACTCTCTTCTCTTCTCTTCTATGCAGTCTATGCCAAAGGATGCATAAAATAAACAATTATCACTATGAATTATTATTATTATGCGTTATTTAGTATTTAGTTTTTTGTTTATGAACTTTGCGTGGAATTACATTTTTAGGTCAAAACTCATTTCGAATCTGCATTGACTTCTTCTTCAGACAGGCATGTGGCTGGGGGCAGGAGGCTGGGGGAGGGATGGGGGCGTGTTGGTTCGTTTCAAAAACGATTAAATTTCAAATACAACAACTATTTTGAATAGGAATAGGAAAATAGGTCTAGAGGGGAATCCGATGACTCTTAACTGGAGCAAGAACAACGAACCGCACCGCACTCTCGGATCATTTCGTGTGGAACGTGGACAAAAAGCGGAAAAGAAAGAAAGAAATGAAAAAAAAAAACATAAAAGTTGGATTGAGGTGAGGCGAGAGGTGTGGCCGGGGGTGGTCCGGGTTTGGTCCGGGGTCGTGTTTAATGTGTTTTTATGTTAAATTCGCAACATTATTATTTCAGTTTACGCTATTTACTTTCGTACTCTTACTCATTGTTTTGTTGTTGTTTCTATTTAGCTTTATCGTTATGTTTTTTTATCATTATCATTGTGGTTGGTGTCTAAATTATTGTTTAGTTACTCACAAGTGTAGTCATCTCATCGTCACAAAATATAGTATAGTATATATAATATATATTTGCCTTTAACCCACACACAAAACCTTTTCATCCTTCCTGCTAGCCCACCATCGACGGGAGGGCCCAGATGTTCTTGTTCCTCTTCCTGTTCCTGTTGCTGGTCTCGTTCTCGCTCTCATTCACGCTCTTATTTTCTCTCGGTCTCGTTATGGTTCGTTTGCCCCAGACGCCGACATTGACCATCCGTCGATGGTCAACTAGGCCTCGGGCAGCGGTTTCAGCTCCTTTATCTGCTTAATCAGATAGGCCTTCTCGTCGTTGAACTGCTCGTCCTCGGAACGGTCCGTATGGAAATTGGTTAGGAAGTCGACCAGTTTCGTTTGGTTGCGCAGCAGGATGTCCAGGATCGGCTTCGGCTTGTTCGGATTCGCCACGAACACCTTGAAGACGTGAAACGCCTCGAACTGGATGTTGCGCGACTTCTCCTTCAGCATATTCATCATCAGCTTCAGGTTCTCCGGCTCGGAAATGTAGCGCGTCATCACGGTGAAGTTATGCCGGTCCAGCAGCAGCTCGCCCAAAAGCTTCAGGCTCTGGCGACGCGTCACATAGTTCTCCGAGTTGAGCAGCCGCTGGTAGTGCTGCGAGAAGAACTTGTCGTAATTGGCGTCCAGGAACTCGGCGCACAGCAGCTTGTGGCGCGTGAGGAGCTCCTTGAAGGTGGAAAAGGCATCGGAGGCGATATCGAAAGTGGACACCTCCACGTAACGGAAGAACTTGAAGAACTCGTCCGAGTGGATCATGATCTTGGCCAGGGCCTCGTAGCGAGCGCACTCCCGCAGCATGGTGCCCGAATTCAAGGCAATCTCTGGGTGCGCATCCTCATAGCCGCCCATTAGTGTAAACAAGATCTCCGGTTTCGTGCAGATGTACTCCACTGTGGGCGAGCGGGTACCAATCTGTCTCCGCAGCACATTGTTGAATATCAGTGCCACATGCTTCTTGCCCTCGAAGTCGATCCTGTGCAGGTTCTGTATAAGCAGCAGCAACAGATTGCTGTTATACAGCTCCTGCGACAGCTGAGCGACCACATAGTCCGCTGGCGGCTCTGTATCGCTGCTGCCATATAGCATATTCTTGATGGACACCAGGTTCTTGCTGCAGTCCTCCTGCGCCTTCTCCACTTTTCGGTCGCCCGACTCCAAGGCATTGATTGCCTCCTTGAGCGATTTGACCAGCTCAACTGGCGACTTCTGTGACTTCCCGAAGAGTGGCATTTTGCTTTCTGCTGTTTTCTCGAGCTGGCTCTGTTTCGGGCTCGGTCTCTCGTATCTTCTGTGGGCTGCTGACTGACTTTCTGCTGATGTTGTTGTTGCTGCTGCTGGCTGGCTTGCTCTGGCTTTCGTTTGCAGTTGTACCTTTGAGGTCGTGGCTTTCGTTGCCCAATTTCTGATGCTGAAGACACAAATTAGATCGCTTGGCAATATTATCACGGTATAATATTCTATTATTATATATTAATTTCGTCTTTTTCAGTGCGACCGCGGACTTATCGATACAATATACGGTCTGACCCTAAGAAATATACCGAAATATACCTTAAATATACTGATCTTAAAGAGTGTCATCATTTTCGTGGAGTGTATTTTAATACTCACTACTGGTCGACAATGGGCTAACGTTCTCTGTCCATGATCAGAAATTATGTTCCTCGATTTTGTTATTCGATTAGGATTTACTAGCTTGATAAAACTTTCAGCACTTCACACGTAGTTCTATCCGACAATCTAATCAATTTCATACTAGAATGGCTTATTTTATGTACTCATCTTTAGTGGATTTTTAATAAAATATGGTTTGAACACAAAAGATCAACAAAAATTTCCACTTAGTACACGCTAACTACACACGTCCTACATTTTAACTACATATTGGATGTAATTGTCGACAAAGACACCCGAGGGCAATGTACGTTTGGCGAAGAATATTTAAAAATATTAGAAAACACTCAAAAATACTATAAAAGTATCAAAATATCAGTAGGAACCATTGGAAAATACCAGAAAAAGTATACAAACATCCATTCCGAACCAGGGTGACAGTATCGTGGATTCGATGATCACGAATTAGTATTCGATGGGGCCTGGAACATGACTGTAAATTAAATTTCTGCACGATTTATACATTAGTTCATTGGAGGGCGTGTCTATAAGCGTCTTACGAAATATTACAAAAAACTATGAAGAGTATAAAAATATGCAAGGTGTGTGAGCTGGACTTGGTGTCTAACTGACAAGCAAATTAGTGTGACCGCGGACTTGTCCATAAAATATACGGTCTGACCCTTAGCAATAAACCGAAATATACCGATGGAAAAAAGCGAACTTAGCCCTCTTAACCCCCGCAATTCAAACAGGTGAACAATTTAAGCTAAGCTGCGGCAAATATTACTGTATTTAAAATCTTCATGAAGATCCACCCTTTTTCTTAAAAAAAAAAAAACATGCCACGATATCTTTCACCAGAACTGCGCTAAAAACCTCAGGTTTCAGCATTTTCATGGAGTGCAATTTGAATATCCCCTGATCTACAATGGATTAATTCTAGATAGCTAGGAACCTCAGCCCTGAACACATCATTTTATCACATTGCTGAATAAATTTTATACAAGAAAGGTAAATTTTAAGGACTCACTTTTATTGGATTCTTTGTAAAATAAGGTAAATAAAAATGTCAATTGTTTTACATGGTAACTACACATTTACTACATATAAAGTGAAATGTAAGTGTGTATTCACGTGATTGGTCAACCAGCTTCTGCTATGAGGATGGACATTTGTATACCCTATTTCCTTGAACTAATGTTAAAGTACTCTTCCAATAAACAGTTATGAATAGGTATTCATGAATTTGATCAGTGTTCTGTATAGGAAAAAACTTCTCTTGATCCCGATATCTATTCTTGGTCTCTGTAGGAAGACCATCGAGTGCCATATTTCCTTGAAGCCCAAAATGTCTGAAATTTCCTTATTTCAGAATGCTGTTCATCCCGGGCACTGAAGGGCCCGCTAATATGAAAGGAAAGATGCATTTTTTAAATATCATTTTTATTTCTCATTGAAGTACTTTGTTTTTGATCCGTTTTCTTGTTAGATATTAATCTGTTGCGCATTTCAGGCGCTTGGGGTGTATCATAGAAGTTACAGAAATATATTGATGTATTTGTGTGTACGCATATATTAGGCTTTTATCAGCTTTCTTGTTGTCGCTAGACCGATATTTGGGGATTAAAGAAAGGCAAAGTATTATATGCACATCCATATATATATATAATTATATCAACTTTGTTTATGTATATAGGCTAGACCGGCCCCTTATCCCTTCGATCCACATCCGTTGTGTATTTTGAAATGAATTTTATTGGGTTTTTGAGTTTTTTTGTGGGATTTTTGTTTGTTTTGTGTTTTTTTGTTTACGTATAAAATTGTTGTGTTAAAATCCTTGAAAATATCAGATAAATAATTACAATTGGTTGTGTATGTGTAGTATGTATGATAAAAGCATTGTTTTGCACTCGAACATAGATTAAACATAAATCAATTTAGTCATTGCCACTAAACATATCATATCAATGTGAGTAGTAGTACGAGATACGAGATACGCTTTATCGTATCGTATTTTATCAGCTAATAATAATATCTTTGGGCTTGGCTACTGCGTGTGTGAAAGTACGAGTACACACGTACACGTACACACATAGATCATGATCATAGATATATATATGTATATGTATATGTATGTAAATGGGACAGGACACACGGCGACAGCGACGAAAGGTCGACGTGCCTTACACATTCCGAAAGGAGTTTAGATTTTCTTTTCTTTTCTTGGGGGGGAAAGTCACTAAATATATATAATATCTTTATCTTGTAGAAGTATATATATAATATAGGTATAATAAAACATTTTACGACTAGTATATATATATATATATGTATATTTAGTGTATATATATGTAAATATATTATATGTAGTGTATATGTGTATATATGCATTGCGTTTCGTGTATAATTACTAAATTTATTGAGATATTCTATGAATATTTTCCCTTCTATCCATTCCATTCTTAAGCCATGTCTTGTGTCTTTCTATATACGATATACGATTAAAAAAAAAAAGAAGAAAACGAAGCGAGAATACGTTTATACGGGAGGAGGATGCTGGGTTTATTTGGGGAAGGGTTCTATGTTGTTGCATGTCTGTTGGAGTAGTGGAGTGGAGTGGAGATGAAATATACTTTACAATTAAAAGCGGGGATCCCCGTTGAGGGGCCAGAGATCCCCTTTACAGAAATTTGCTTTGCAACTCATTTCGTTTTTTGTTTTCTTCGAAGCTTTCTGCACAGATCTGACTAGATATATATGTGTGTATATATATATTATAGAGGCAACTACTACTACTCTCTACCAAGTACGATACATAGGTTTCTTCCTCCTTCTGTCCTCTTTCCTCTCCTCTCTTTACTTTCGTTTTTAGTTATAGTTGACGCTGCTGCTGCTGCTGCTGCTGCTGCTGCTGCTACTTCTACTGCTAATGCTGTAGTTGTCCTTTATCTATCAACTTCCTTTGATCCTTCTCTTCTTCGCTGGGCTTGAAGTTTCGTTTCCTGCTTCCGCTTCGTTGTGTTGAGCCAAGATGTGATGTTGCTGATGGCTCCGTCCCGGGATGGGGATGGATGGATGGTTGTTTGGTTTCCTTGGTTGGTTGGTTCTCTCCAGTGTCGTGTCCCGTGTCACTTTCGCTTGATAAAGTTGCCCTCGGCATCCAACCAGATGGCCGGCTGGTGCTCGTGCGCGTGCGCATCCATCCCCGTTCTTATCATTTACCTATTCAGCGCATTGGAGATCTGCTTGAGCGACTGTCCCACCTCCAGGAGCAGGCGCTCGTTGTCCTGCATGTTCTTGCTGCCGGCGGAGCGCAGGTGCTGCGACTGCGTCTCCACGCGGGTCACCAGCTCCCGGAAGTGGAACTTGGAGTGCGGCGGCATGGATTCGTTCTCCGCAAAAATTACACACGAGTTCTGCAGGATGTTGAGCTTGTCGCTCAGCTGGAGCCACTGCGAGGCGGAGATGGCGTTTACTGGATGCTTGAGGGAGCCATCCAGCAGGCCCACCAGCTCCAGGATGCTCTCCCTCGATATCTGCGTGGAGTTGCCCGTGGTGGAGCCATTGTCCGTCGCCAGCTTGGCTATCGGCGTGGCGTAGATGGTCAGCTTGGTGGGCTTGTGCGGCACAGCGGGCTTCTGTTGCGGCTGCGACTGCGACTGCTTGCTGCCCTGCAGCTCGTTCTGGACGTTCTGGACGTAGAGCGACTGTGTCATATTCTCTGGTGCCGGGTGACCTAGTCCCTCCGGCTGCTGCTGGCCCGACGACTCCTCGCTGGCGTCATCTGTGAAGAGTTGCGTGGAATGAGAGGTTTTTATTGAGCTGCTGGATGCTAATGGCTGTGGCTGCACCCTGATGCCAGTGGCTGTGGCTGTGGCTGTGGCTGTGGTGGTGGTCGTGCTGTTGGTTGGGGGCGGTGGTGGTGGGGCAGCCGGCGGCGGCCTATTGCCTGGCCTATTGGCCATGGGAATTGCTTTGAGCCCGTATTTGGGCGATAGCTGGGATGTGGTGGATGTGGAGGAGCCGCCATTAAGTGACGGCTGCTGGATGATCGCGCTACTGGCATAGTCGGGAGGTTGGGCCTGTGCCTGTGCCTGCCCTTGAGCCTGGGGCTGGGGCTGCTGCTCCCACAGTTTTTTTAAGCTATTAATACTACCTGTGCTCCGTCGCTTGCCAAGATCCCCGCCGCTGTCGCCCGATCCCGTTCCCGTCTCCATCTCCACGTTGGAGTTTGTCACATCGATTTTGATTTCAGTCTTTTGCATGGCCTGTGAGTGGGAGAACTTCTTATTGTCGTCCTTGCTGCGGCTCAGGGTGCCATTGGCATTGTTGGCCACTGCCTGCTGCTGGATACCGGTACCAGGAGCAGGAGGCTTTTCCTGCTGCAGCTGCTGCTGCTGCTCCGCCTTGTCCACTCGCCGCAGATGGGCCTTGAAGTCAATGATGATCTTGGAGGTGGGCTCTGCCTTGGCTATCGGCGTCGTCATCTTCTTGGGCTCCACCTTCTTCAACTGAGCCTTGAATCCAGCTGGAGGAGCTCCTGCAGTGGCAGCGGCAGAGGCGGTGGCAGTGGCAGTGGCATTGCCATTCGTCATCTTCTGCTTGGGGAGATTCATGCTCTCCGCCAGCTCAGTGACCAGCAGGGAGACGGGATCCACGGGATGCACTGATGATACTGCTGACATTACTGATCCGTTGGCCAGGTGTGGGCTCACTGGCGACTCCTTGCCGCCCGCCGCCTTGATCTCCGTGATCAGTTTCTCCTTCATCATGAGGCTCTTCTCGGGTGCTGCGTCCGGAGGGGTGCCCAGAGAACTGCACGAGTCCGTCGAGGGCTCCCGCTTCCGCAGGGACACGCCGAACCGGGAACTGGCCTCCTCAACGCTCGGGGCCGTGTTGCTTACGTCGTGGGTGCTGCTGTCGTTGTTGTTGTTGCTGTTGCTGCTTGTGTTGCAGACGTTGTTGTTCGAATGCTGGGCGTGCAGATGCTGCTGGATGGCCTGGACGGCGCTCTCGGGCGCTGGCGGCGGCGGCGGTGGCACCGCCTCGAATTCCTCGGGCGGCGGCGGCAGGTCCAGCGGCGGTGGCGGAAACTCTAGATTGGCCAGAGCCGGTTGGGGCACAGGCGGCTGGGCTGCCACACCGCCAGCGCCCACGCCACTCCTCTTGGGGGAACTGCTGGAGCCGGCGGCCCGGAACGAGGAGAACGTCATCATAGTGCCCTCGGTGGTGGTGCGGTGGCGCTGCAGCTTGTTCAGACTGGCCGCCGCATTGTTCTGCATGGTCACGCCCCCGGACGAGTTGCTCCGGATCATCTGCTGGGGCGGCGGTGTGGCCAGGCCCACCGCCGATGGAGCCTTTGGACTGGGATGGATCCTGGCCGGTGGCGCGGCATGACCGTTGGCAGCAGGCGAGGGCGTTGGCGAGGAACTGGCCTCGCCCCCACTGTCCTCCAGGCTGTCGAGAAAGGCCCCGATGCGTGCCCCCTTCGGCAGGGTGCCGTATCGATTCACGACGCGCTTCACATTCATCACCTCCAGTGCTCCCACAGTGATGGGATGGGCTGCCAGTGCAGAGCTGCCGTTGGGCAGGTTGGGCAGTGGCTGTTGCTGCTGATGTTGCTGCTGCTGCATTTGATCCCTGGGTGCTGCCGGGGGGACTGAGGGATGGTGCTGGGAACGCTTGCTCTGGCGCGTCTCCAGTCCCCGGTTGCCCATCACCGGCGTCGGCCGCTTGAAGGAGCTGTGGTGCTGCGAGGACCTGGGTCCGATTCCGCCGTGCAGCGAGTGCTGCATCTTGTTCGGTGTGACGGCTTGCGACGGCTCCAGACTGTCGCCGGTTGCATCCGTATCGGGATCTGCTGCCGGATCCGTTTCCGAATCGTAGCGCTGCGTGAGGCTATTGATGTCCCGCGCAAGACCTGCACGAGATAGACAGAGACAGAGAAAAAGAGAGAGAGAGAGCAGAAAATGGAAATTAGTTCCCGGGCGGGGGGTAGTCTATGGGTCAAAGGAATGCTCGTGCCGGGTGCTGGATGCTTGCATTGATATTACGGATGGTATGGGATAGTATGGGTTAATCTGGACCAAAGTCGGCTGGTTCTTTCGTGTGTGATCATAAGTTTGTGTGGGTGTGTGTGTATGTATGTGTGTCAGGCGGGGCAAAAACTACATAAAAACACCAAAAACAGAACGAAATAAACCAAACGACAAAGTGATATTCAAAGGAATCCTCAGATCTGTCTAGATTCTGTTGGAAAATTACCTTTTCAGGATCAAAATAGCTATCACATCGAATAAAGTTAACAAATAAAAACAAATTTATGGTTAAAACGTTTAACAAGCACCAAAAAAAAGGAACAGAAAGAACATTCTTTGAACATTAGAAAGAGGAGGCTCTCGTATCAGATATACAAAAACAGCATTCGAAAAAAGCTTACAATTTAAAGAAAACTAATTAAAAACAAAAAGTTATTTAAAAAAAAATTAAATTAAAAAGTCTATTGCATGTGGAATGCATATTAAAATATTTTTCACAAGGAATAAATGTTAAAAAAAAGAAGTAAATAGAAAACTCAAAAGAAAAAAGAAAATTAAATTTAAAAAAAAAGAAATTGTATTGCATGTGGAAGTCGTATCAAAATGGTTTCCACATGGAATACATAATAAAAACAAAAATAAATTATAAAATTCAACTAAAAGGAAAAATATATAAAATAATATTAAAAAATTAAAAATAAACTTTACTGCATGTGGAATTTATATTAAAATTGTTTCCACATGGAATACATAACAGAAAAAAAAAAACAAAACTCAAGCCAATACAAACGATGATCCATTAAAAATAATAGGTACCAAAAACAAAAAACAACAAATAAAACACACAATAAACCGATAAACGAACATAGAATTTTGAAAGAAGATCAATTGGGAGTTCTCTCGCAGGACGAGGGCTCCGTTTTGACAAAATAATACCTCGAAATAGGATGTCGTAAAGGAAACTACTGCAGGAGGACGATTTCTTAATGGAATACTGTTGTTGTTGTTGTTGTTTCTGTTGTGGCAGTGGCAGTGGCTGTGGCTGTGCTTGTTTCTGTGCCAGGGTCTGCTGCTGCTGCACTGGCTGTACGTGTGCTGTACGTATTTGTTGTTGTGGTGTGTATTGTTGTTGTTGTTGTTGGTGGGTTGGAATTTGGGTCTTGAAATTTCTACTGAGGGTCTGGCTGAAAAAGCTGCAATTTCGATTGAATTTTGTGCTTGTGTTTATACCATTCGTATTGAGGTCATCGATAAAGTTGCACCGCTGATTGGTGCCGCCGCCGCCGCCACCACTGGCGTTGATCGGATCCTCCTCGCGATATGTTGAGTCCCGACTGCTAGAAAGCAGACTGCAAACACGAAAGGATTACATTAATACCTAGAAACGAAATGCCTTGTGCTCCTTTCTGTAGAAAATTGCCTACCTGGTTCGCTTGGGTGGTGCTGGCGCCTGTTTTCCCTGCTTATTGGTGGTGCGTCGCATCTGTACATTGCCCTTGCCCTGGCTGGAGAAGGTGCTCAGCTTTGTGGAAGTGGATCCGGTTTCTGTATGCCAAATATTACGACATTAGTTTAGATGATGCCGCACTCTGCTCTCCACTCTTTACTCTCCACTCACCTGACATGGGCGTACTGGCCTGCTGCTGCTGATCGTGCTGCTGCTGCTGCTGATGGGCATTTGGCGTGAGGGAAGACGATGACTGGCACTGGGAGGAGGCCGCTGGCAGGCCCTTCTTCCCCATTTGTGGGGTGAGGCTGAGCGAGGCCGATGAGGAGGCACCGCTGGCCGCTGACTGTGTGCCACTGGCACCGCCGACTACTATGCCCGATGTGGTGTTGCTGCCGCCACCGCCGCCGCCGCCGCCGCCGCTGCTGCTGGGGTTGTTGTGGGAGCTGCTGCTGCTGCTGGCGTTTAGCTGTTTCTCGACCGCTTCGGTGATGGACGATTCCTGCGGAGGAGCGGAGAAGGAGAGATGTGCACCGTGTGGGTCATTATTGCTATCACTACTTTTGATTGTTGCCTGCTGACGATGATCGCGGAGAGCCGCGGCCACGCATTGCGATCAAAGCTCAACGTCCACGTTGCCATCCGCGAGATGATGATGGCCCCTAGGGCCTCTATGATGCCCCGTCGTCGTCGTTACCACGTTGTTGTGGCAGCGGCGGCGGTGGCTCCTGTGCCGACGAGGATGATCATCGTCATCGTCGCCATCGTAGTTGCTCTCATCATCATCATCATCATCATCATCGTCATTGTCTTCATCTTGATCGTAATGGACATTGTTCTGCTCCTCTTCGCCTTCGCCTTCATCTTCATCTTCATAATCATCATCATCATCTGCATAATCATCATCCCACACCTCGACGTCACCCACCTGAAACATATGCTCCAGCGCATGGTGTATGCTCTTGAATGTGGGCCTGTCGGCGGCATCCCACTGCCAGCACTGGCGCATCAGATCGTACACCTCGGGCGGACAGCCGGGCGGCCGCTCCATGCGATAGCCCTTCTCTAGCTTATGATATACATCGGTCAGATCGATGCCCGGATAGGGGGACATCCCGTACGTGGCTATCTCCCACAGCAGCACCCCAAAGGCCCACACATCCGACTTGGTGCTGAACTTGTTGTACGCCAGTCCCTCGGGGGCAGTCCATTTGATCGGGAACTTGGCGCCCGCGTGCGCCGTGTACGTATCGTCGCGCATCAGTCGCGCCAGCCCGAAGTCCGCCACCTTCACCAGCTTATTGTCGCCCACAAGGCAGTTTCTGGCCGCCAAATCGCGATGGATGTAGTTGCGCGACTCCAGGTAGCTCATGCCCGACGCTATCTGTGTGGCCATGTAGAGCAGGGCCACGGCATCGAGGGTCTCGCGGCCGGCGGAGCGCAGAAAGTCCAGCAGATTGCCATGCGACATGAATTCGGTGATGATGTAGAACGGAGGCTCACGCGTGCACACACCTGGAAGGGGAGGAGGAGCAGATGTAAGAACCACTAGCTGTGGGTACGGGGAGGGGGAGGGGGGACATACCGATAAGCTGCACCAGATTCGGGTGCTTCATCTCCTTCATGATGGCCGCCTCCTCGAGGAAATCCTTGAGGGCCATGGTATCCTCCTTGAGGGTCTTGACGGCCACCGTGTTGCCGTAGCGCTTCCACACGGCCTCGTACACCTCGCCGTACTGGCCGCCGCCGAGCTTGTGCTTCATCATGATGTCCGTGCGACAGATCTCCCACTCGTCGGGCTCCGGACTCAGGGGGAAGACCGTGGGCTTGTTCTGCTTGGGCGCCGGATAGAGCAGGGGCGTGATCAGGCCATGACCCTCGTGGGGCACACTGTGATGATGCACCAGCTCCGCCAGTGTGTTGAATTTCGCCTCCTGGGTGACAAACACCTTGCCATCGGGATCTTCCGAGATGCGATAGTGATAGACGCGTCCCTCGTACCTGCGATCGGAGAGGAATTAGTGATGGAAGGATGCTATTGATGCTATTGATGCCATCGATCGTGCGTACGTACCTCAGACTGATGCTCCTCTGGCCCGGAGAACTCTCGCTCTCGCGCACCAGAAAGCTCCCGTTGATGCCCGAACTCAAGAGATATTCGGCGGCATTGCGGGAGATGGGTCCGTGGTACCACGAGTGCTTCTCGAGCGAATTCAATGGCGTCACATAGTTGGAGGGCACCCAACCGACGTTGCCGGAGTCCGAGTGCGCCTCGCACCACTCCCCGGACTTGTTGTAGCTAAGGATCCGCACCTGCTCGCCCTTCTTCAGGCTCAACTGGTTCTCGCCGCCCGCCTGAAAGTCGTACAGGGCCACAAACAGCTGCGGATCGTCCTCCTCCGGGCCCGGCTCCAGCAGATTCTCCTTGGAGGTCCAGCGATGCGTCGACTCGAACACCGATGTCGACGAACTGTGGCCCCCGAGGGAGGAGCACTGCAGTCCGGAATCGCTGCACTGCAGTTCCGCTGCATTTTCCAGCAGGGATGCTGCCGTGCTCCCGGCCGGAATGTGAGGTAATGGACGCGACTGCAGCAGGGCTTCTGCATAAGAAAAACAGACAGAAAGAGAGTGGGAGAGAGAGAGAAAGAGAAAGATGGGGAATCAGAGTTGAGTTGAGTGAACCAGCGATCGATCGGAGGGGAGTAGTAAACCCGTTTCTATCTCTAGGAATGCGGGAGTGCGCCCCATCCACACTCCACTCCCCCCCCCCTTCACCCCTCTTTGCTCCATTGAGAAAATAAATTATGCATAAAATTACACAAATCATGGGGCATCCCCCCCTCCCCCCTCCCCACCAGTGGCACTTTGATTGTGGGAAGGTTCTTCCAACTCCCACGCACTCTTGGTTTTCACTTGGGTATCCGTACCCCCAACAGTGCCAGCTCTTTAGATGTATCTGTATCTGTATGTCCGTGTCTGTTAAGCTATCTTTGGAATGCATTTCTCGCAAGAGTTCTTTGATGGAAGGGTCTGTCGTATCGGTTCAAAAGGGAATTCCCAAGAAAGAAAAAACAAATAACATGTCCTGTGAATGATGCACTCGCTGAATTATTACAAAATTCGTTCGAATTAATTTCATCATAAATTTCAATGAAAAGAAAAAAAGAATTTTCAGGGTATCCCCGTGGCTGCAACACTCTTTTGAATTTCCCTTTTGATGTCTGTGCACCATTGAAATAATTGAAAAAAATTTACATTCCCCCCAACTCTTGAGGGCTTTGTTCAGCGTTTGACCAAAGCAAACACTTCCGTTGGATTCCATTTCGTTGGGTAAATTTCTCCATATTTTTATTTGAAATTTATATTACGAGTATTTTCATTCCACACCGAAGTGGAACTGGAAGTGGAAGCCACTCTGCTGGGAGAGCGGAGACAGACAGGGAGAGAGATGGTGGATGGTGGATGGTGGATGCAGGAGCTGCCAAATCATAATGAAGTGTACTCTCGCCCTTTTGAGAAGGGTTCCCGATTCCCGGTTCCCGGTTCCCGTTCCCGATCCCATTCCCCAAAACCACACACAACAACATCACACATTCGTTAATTTATGCGCGCGAGACAGGAAATATTAATGGCAAATAATACTACGAGTATAAGTAGGTAGGGTGCACGTGTAGAGCCCGATGGAGGGGCAGAGCACCACAGATGACAGCGGAAATGTTCGGTTCTCCAATGGTGGTCGGTGGTCGGTGGTCGGTCGTCGGTGGTCTGTGGCTGGGGGATTAGCCATTGTCCCAGCCCCCCACCCCTCCCCACTTGATATGCAAGTAGTTTAAAGATCCAAATTTTGATGTGTGTCGTTGTGTGTTTTGGGGAAATGTGAGTCACTCGTAGAATCTCGGAAAAGGGGGAGGGGAGGCGGCCGGCATTCGTATGAAAATCTGTTCATACTTTGGCATTGACTCAGAGCCAATCAACAGGCAATTAAATATTTGAGTCAGAGATTTTTCATTGCATAATTGTATCCCCATTAAACCATAGATTGCTGTACTACAATAATAGATACAGTAATGTATCTAAAATTAACTTGGAATCAGTTGATCATAGATCATAGACCATAGGAACGTTAGATGCTATAAACCAACTGGAAAATCTTTACAATCTTTTATTTTCAATCAGTTCTTATTACTTATCGGGTAATTAGTTTTCCATACGATTGTCCACTTCCCTTTCGAGAGGATTTCTCAAGTGAGGCAGAGGCACATTTCCCCCACTATCAATCCACCCAAAACCCATCATGAATTACCCCCTCAACGCCGCTGCCGCCTCCACCTCCTCCTCCTCCTCCTCCTTTAATTATTAAGAATGACACTACTTATGTGCCTGTGTCTGTGTCTGTGTTTTGTATTGTGTGGATGGGTATTGTAGTTGTTGTTAAGAATGTATGTATTTTTGTTGTTGTTGTTTTTACCTAAATTCATGTGATATTTGCCTGGATGGCCGCGAAAAGAGCTGTGCTTCGTACCACCTGCAGAAACAGAAGAAACAGAAAAACAGAGAGAGGTGTGTGAGAGATCGGCATGTGGATCGTGGATCGTGGATCCGTGTATCGTGTATCCGTGATCTGTGCTTGTATCTGTGTGGATGCATAGATCAGATATCAGATGATGATTTCTCAAACGACTACAATGATGGTCCGCAAATAAATAAATATTGTAAATGGGGGAAAAAAGCAAAGGCAACAAATTAAATCAAATTACATCTAAGTACAGGAGAGAATACCAATAGATACGGATGGGGGGTAGTATAGAGATGCAGAGATGGAGAGAGATCTATTTACAGTTGAATGATGACAGGCAAACGCGGGAGCTTGAAAGCCGTCGAAACCGCAGAAAGGCCAATTAGTGTCTTGGCCCGAACAAGAGGAAGAGTAATACCCTTTTTATTCGTATAAAAACAAACTTTTAATGCTGTAATTTCTCAGAGAGACAGAGTGTTGGGTATGTGGGGAGGGGTGGGGGGGGATCTATGGAATGACACGCCCCCTAGACATTTGACAAAAATGAGGAAGCAGTAGAGGCTGAGAAATGTTTCGCCACTCAAAAAGAGCTTAGCTTTCCGCTAGAATGAGTCCAATGAACTTTAAAGTCACAAAAATGCCACAAAGAGAAGAAGAGAGAGAGAGAGGAGAGGAGAGGAGACGAGAGGAAAGGAAAGGGGAAAAATGGAATCCGTCTCAAGCTATGCACATCCGCCATCTAGCGGCTACTTATGCAGGTTATTAGCGGGAATTTGGAGCAAGCAATGCGCCTGAGAGAAGATTAAGAGTGGAAGGAGAGAGGGGCGGAGAATGGAACCACGTCACACACCACACCACACCACACCACACACACACACACACACACCCACTCGAGGCATCAGACTTAACGGTGAGTGTGTGTGTGTGTGTTGAGCGAGCATAGATTAAAATCTGGCTACGCAGCAGACTCTCATCTTTGTCCCTCTCTCTCTCTCTGTCTCTCTCTCCCTCTCTCGCTATCGATTTAGGCACAGCACAGGCAGCACTTTGGTATACATATTATCTAAAGATATCTGGCTATAAAGGGCTTTTCATTCTTATACACTGCTGCCTCGTCTAGGCACGTAGCCCCCCACCCTCTCTCAGCTGTAACCTTGGCTCCAAACAGTAACGGATTTGCCAATTCAAGCACTATTGATCTCCCCCCCCCCCCCACACACCCGAACACCCCCCACCTATCCTTTTGAGGCCGATGGTGTGGCTTGTCCTTGTCCATTTAATAGCCACTCTGCCGCCCATCATCTATGTGTGTGTGTGTGTGATTCGCTCATTCATTATTACAAGCACTCCGCTTGTCATTCATTCGCGCAGTTCATTCATGCATTTCATTTGTTATCTGTGTGTTTGTTTTTTGTGTGTTTTTTTTCTATTTGGATCGCTTTTTTTTGTTTGTTTTTTTTTGCATTTGAGCACGTTTTCTCATTTTAGTTTTCGCTCTCTGCTCTTCTTATTCTTCCACTTCGAGGGCTTTTGTGTCATGCCCTGAAACGGGATTTTGCAGTTGTCCTCGCTCTCACACACACACACGTATCAAAGGGGAAGGTAAGGCACTCTCACAAATTAGCATCAACTCGTAGGTGCAGTGCCTCACCTTTTATGGAATACACCTTGGTCTACGGCCGCCTTGGTCTTCTTTTTCTGCTTCTTCGTCTACCGTTGTTGTGCCCCTTTTGGTCCCCCTTTTACTTGTCGGATTACATTCACATTCTGCCTTTGGCCTTTTGCCCAGACGTCGCTGGCTCGCTGGCAGACAGGGCAGGGCGGGGCAGGGAAGGGCCTGGGGCGTTGGGGGCGTGGCCAGTCAACAGTAATAAACTTTTACGGTGTAAATTTAATTAGTCATTACTCTGGCTTCCGTTGGAGGGGACGACCCCAAGAGATTCTCTTTGGGGGATTTGATTTCAACGAGAACTTTTTCAATTTGAACACACACAGACACACACAGCACCCACATATACATACATACATACGATTGCATTTTAGTTCAACTTTAACGATCCAATAATTTGTGAAGCGGAACTCTGAACGGAACTTGAGATCATTAAGCCGACAACAGCCCGATTAGGGCCACAAAAATCCATCCATCAGCATCACCATCGGCATCGGCACGGGGAAAACTAGTTTCAAAATAATGTATCAAGAAATTAACCCACAAACAAAAGAAGAGAAGAGAAGAGAAGAGAAGAAAGGCTTGCCTTTGGGTTTGGGTTGCAGTTCAGGGTTCCAACAAGGATCCCTCGTCCTTTGAGCTTATCTTTCCACCCACTTGCACATCTCAAGTGACAGCATACGGTGGTAATCTAGCTATTTTAGTTTCCCTTGTTGTGCCGTACTTACCGTACTATCTACCCCTGCCAATCTCCACTGTGGCCATCTCTATAGAGAACACGAAAGGCCAAGCAACTGGTGCCACTGACAGGCGAAAACCATAAAGTCGAAACGAAGGCGGAAATGTTAAAGAATTTATGTTTTTGTGGGTTTGGGAATTTGCATAGACGACAAAAGGTGCACCAAACAGAAGACAGGGAGGAGGGAGGGAGGGGGAGGTTGCACCACCCCAAGGTTCGGTTCGGAGATCAAGTTCCTCCCCTTGGAGGCAGTGGCGGCACAAAGTGCGAAAAAAACTATGCAGCATATGAAAGAGAGGGAGACGGAAAGAGAACGAAGCAGAGAAGAAGATGCGAAAACAAAAGAAAACTTTTGTAAAGGCAAAGGACAAGCACGGACGGGGTGTGGTGTGCGGGCGAGGACGAGGACGAGGACGAGGGTTCGCTCTGGCGAAAATGAGAAAAATCCACCCTTGGTCGAGTCGTCGGTCGTCGGTCTTCGGACAAAGAGCCGCTGGCAATTTTACCACTTTTCTAAGGATTCCCCCCCGCACTGCACCGAAACGCACTTCAAGGCTAGTCTTGGGGCCCCAGGGCACGGGCAAAAAAGATAAGATGGGGGTAGGAGTGGATAAGGGTGTGTGCAGGGTATCAAGAATACAAGTAAGGCCATAAGGCCACAGCTGCAGGCCCACGAGATCGAGAGGGCGGAAAGGGTGGCTGCACTGGCCTTACCTTCGGCCGCATATACCTTGGAATATTACATGCAACCCACTGTGACACCGTCGTGACATATGACGCAGCAGACGATCTCCGGCCACTCTCCACCTTCCACCTTCCACCTTCCACTCCTTCCCGCCCTTTGAAGCCAGCATATGCCACGAAAGAAGTTAAGGGAAATCAAGTAGAGACGGAGAAGAGAGAGAGACAGCGAGAGAGAGGGAGAGTTGAACAAAGGATGCAAAAAAGTAAAACAAAAATCAATAATGAAAACCTCTTCAGTCGCGAATTTCCCCATGAAGTTCCCCACGAATGCAGGGAAATGGAAAATTAATTGAATGTCAGCATCCAACCATCCATCCATCCGTCCGAAAGAGGGTGCCCACGGGGGGGCATACAGAGAGAGAGAGAGAGAGAGAGGGAAACACTGTCCTCAAAGGTGAAGGGCAAATGCAACATTTTTTACAAAATGTTTTATCGATCCGGGTCCGGGCCCGGGTCCGGGTCCCCACAAGCACTTGAATGTGCAACCGCAATGTCCTTGCCTCCGGGGGCAGGCAGCTGCATAAAAGAGAGGACCCTTTATATAATAATGGACATACTATGCTATAATAGACAAGATGTCCACTCCCCTGTGGAGATCTACTACAGTATCTGTCATCGAAATCCTTACTTTGAGCAGAAAAGTGGGGCCGGCAGTCCTTTCAACAATTCCTCTCATTCCTCTCCTTCAAGGGAGGGAGATTTCCTCTCTTCCCCCGAATAAATTATCACGTGACTAAGGGGGACACTTCACAGTCGTTTTGTTTATGGGTGAATGAAATTGACTTTTAATTGTCGAGACGATGACCAGAAAAGAAAACAATATAAAACCAACAAAAAACAAAAAAAAACCATTGGCATGCACAATTTGTGTGACTATGCAAATGACAGAAAAACCACACAAAGTGGGGAGCATGGGGAGACACACAGAGAGAGTGAGAGAGCACAGAACAAAGCAGAGACAGAAATAAGCATACGACGCGTTGGTCAGAGTCAGAATCTGATTCTCGATTCGATTCTGGGAGCGAATATGAATGTGAATGCGACGAGTGTCAAGTGAATGACTCACTCCACACCAGCACAGTGGGGAGCACAGTGGGCCAGAAGACGTGTTTTTGAACACAAAAGCCACAAAAACCATGGACATTCTTCCAGTGAGGATATGATCTGCGGCCTCTACTGCTTTTATGTGGAGTTAATTTTCATTGTTTTTTTTTTTCCTTCTTTCGGTGCTTCACTGTACGTTTGTTCTATTCCAAATTCCCACACGCCTCTTCATTCATGCTTTTTTTTCTCTCTTTTTTTTGTGTTGTGGGTTTTTCTTCCTTCTTCTTTTTTTTGGGATCTCTCTGTCTGGCGGTCTGTCTGTTTTCTTTTGTTTATGTTTTATGGCTTATTGTTTATTGTTTCGATAGCCAGGCCAGGCCAGGCCAGGCCAGGCAATGTCATACGCTTTTTTCCTGTATACTTTTTTCGCTTATTCATTTGCATGCTTTTATCTGTGGCTGAAACATTCTCAAACATTTTGCGTGGGCATATTTTTGTATTTTTCAGATAATAAATTTGAGCCGACGATAAATAGCATTTGACCATAAAAACGTTGTGTGTTTTTCCCCAGATAACAACAGAAAAGCTCTCTGGGGGAAGGGAAGGGAAGCGAAGGGAAGCGAAGCGAAGCTCTCTCCATAGAAGAGGAAGTAATAGATATACATGTGCTCTGGAATTTCCAGAGTTCTTTAGATTCAAAGTGTGGGAAAATAGAAACAAGAAAAGAAGAGGGCAGAAAAAGAGGAAGATATAGAGAGAAGAGGGTATGTGTGTGTGTTTTGTTTGGGAGAGAAACCCCTGGGAGACTTCGCC